TCCCTGAAAGATCTCCGCCACTCCTATCATTGCCTGAAGGTGCATGATTCTCTCTCCACTCTACAGTTCTTTGTCTCCCCCCCACCCCACCCCCCACCTCAACATTGGCATTTCCAACTGCTTGTGGACAGAAGTAGCTTATCTGCAATCCAGCATCTCTAACATGATTTTTACCTTTGAAATCTGCTCCTCGTTCCGTGTTCCCAGTTTCAGTTGATGGGAACTCATTGGAATGGTCTTCAACATCTCCCTCTACCTCTCGCCCTACCTCCAGGCTCTGAGTGGCCACACACCTATCAGTGACATACCCACATCACCTCCCAACCCCGCCCTCCTCCCCATTTCAGGGGGCCACTGCCTTGGCTGAGGCCCTCCCTCCATCTCTCTTCATTGCTGCAATGCCCTTTAGGTCGGCTGCTTCCTGCCACCAGGCTGATCCTCAACCACAGCACGGAACAGTTCACTCTTTCTCTAAACCAAAAAAATTAAATAAATAAATAAATTAATAATAATAATAAAATCAATAGTTCAAGTTTTTCAGCCTGGCTTTCAATGCCTTCTAGAATCTTTTCTCAGCCAGCTTCTAGTCTGTTCCTCAGCTTCTATTCTCCAAACTCAGTTCCTGCCTTCTGGGCACCTGCTCTCTAAACTTCTGGATCTTCTGCGGGCCGTACTCATCCCATTTTGCCTTCCAAATGCTGCACCTCCAAAAGCCTTCCTCCTAGTTTTCTACCCACTTAAAGCTGGCATAACTCCCTCTTTTCTCTGTATCCTGATACCATTTTTCATTTTGGACATCGGTTACAACACGTATACCTTTTTTCATCATACGGAGGTGAAATAGTTTAATTTTCCCTCCACACTGGAAGGTTCTTCAAATTCCATTCAACAAAAAAATGATGTAGCTTGCATTTTTTAAGCTACTTTTAAAAAGATTTTATTTATTTATTTGACACAGAGTGAGAGACAGAGAGAGAGCACAAGCAGGGGGAGTGGCAGAGGGAGAGAGAGAAGCAGACTTCCCGCTGGGCAGGGAGCCCAATACAGGGCTCGATCTCAGAACCCCAAGATCATGACCTGAGCCAAAGGCAGATGCTTCACTGACTGATTCACCCAGGCACCCCTGTCTGTATTTTTTTTTAATGAGACACTGTAACAGCAACTAGGACTTGAAAAAAAAAAAAAGTAATTCCTGCCCTGGAGTTGGAACTCTCTGGTGGGAAAAGATGATAAAACAGAACTGCTGTACTACATGGCAGGAAGCAGGCATGTCTTGTTGACACTGGTTTCCTCGAGTCCAGGACGGGGCACATGTTAGGGGAATGGCTTTCTAGAGCTGGAAAAGCCTAAAAGATCATGCAATCTAAACTTGAAGTGTCCTACCATAGAGGACAGAGACCACAGAAGTCAGGAGCCTACCCAAGGTCACCAGGCTTGTGAAAGGCAGTGCTGAACCAAGCCCTCTCCAGGGTATGCGCCATCACAGCCCCTCCTCCTTTGCACCCTTGCTGGGGGGTGGGGTGGGGGTGGGGGGGTGGGGGGAGTGGTACCACAGGTTGAGCAGCCGTTATGAACCACAGGAAATATTCCAAAAGGCAATATATATGATAATCATTGGATCTGTCTGAGCTGAGTGGCCAAAAACAAAACCAAAACCAAAAACAAACAAACGAAAAAACACAAGGAAGATTTTAAAGGACAGGTAAATGTTTCTCCTGTCATGAATGCACCATTTCCATAAAACTTTGCTCACCTCATTGTTTCTACATAACTTTTGGTCATTTATTTTGTTCTTTCCAAGAGTCAAATTGTCTAATGGTTAATTAATACCATCCATCCACAGGAAAAAATGAAGATTGAACATTTTAAAAGGACTCATTCCTGAATTAGTGCTCCTCCTGTAAGCCATCTGGAAGATTCCAGAAAAACTGCCTGATTTTTTTCCAAAAGGCTTCTCAAAATCATTGCCCCAGTCTCAGGAGGGCTTCAAACAAAACCACATGAAAAATCTCTCAAGGTGGGGTGCCTGGCTGGCCCAGGCGTTAAGCGTCTGCCTTCAGCTCAGGTCATGATCCCGGGGTCCTGGGATTGAGCCCCACATGGGGCTCCCTGCTCAGGGGGAAGCTTGCTTCTCCCTCTCCCACTCGCCCTGCTTGTGTTCCCACTCTTGCTGTGTCTCTCTCTGTCCAATAAGTAAAATCTTTAAAAAAAAATCTCTCAAGGCATTTTTACCCAGAGTAAAATTCTTTTTTTTTTAATTGTATTTATTTATTTTGGGGGGTAGGGGTGGAGGAAGAAGGAAAGAGAGAATCCTAAGCAGACTCCATGTTCAGCACGGAGCCCAAGTCTGGGCTTGATCTCATGACCCTGAGATCATGACCGGAGCCAAAATCGAGTCGCACGCTTAACCGACTGAGCTGCCCAGGCGCCCCTGGAATAAAATTCTCTTTTAAAATTGCCTTTGTCCTTTTCTTTATAAACCACTCATCTCCACAAGGTATATTGTATTTATTCACCCATTTTGTGCATTTATTTTAGAGAAGTAAATAAAGAAAAAAGTCTTTATTTCATTTTCCTGTATTTAAAAGCAACCACAGTATATAAACAAAATATACTCTTTCATTGTTATTATTCCTACTGTAGAAAAGAGAACATCCAGGTGCCGGCCATGGCTGGAGCAGAATGAAGGAACGGAGAGCGTCATTAGCCCTTATGGAAGACCCTTAAAAAGTTTCTCAAGGTTCTGAACAACTTAGTGCGTTTCCCTCTCCTCCAGCTCAGCCAGGGAGGTAAGATGGGTGTTTTCCTTTCCACGCCGCCCCCAACAATAAATACATCTCAGGGAGGCTTGCTTCACTGAAACCTCTACAAGGAATAACCACCTGCCTGAAGACCAAAATGGATTCATGACAGATGTCCGTAAGGCTGTAACCAAGGAATGGGCAAGGGCAAGCTTCCATCTTACTCCTTCAAACCCAACATCTCTGACCCATTCTTAAGAAAATGTAAAGATTTGTTGTGAATCACTGCAAAGCATTTATCTGTGCCGCCAGAAACACAGAATCCATTAGAACTCATTGTTAACAAATATTAGTAATTATACGTCTTAACAGGGATGCAGCTTCCACAGATCAAGTCATGTCCCCTGGAAATTTACAGTAGAAGGCAAAATCCTAATACCATGGGGTTACTCCGTCTTCCTTCTAACACACTGAAGAAATCACACTAACTCCACCTAGAGATCATTTTCAACCAGGCTCTCCTTCCCATAGTATATAGGTAATAGTATTTTGTATGAGTACGAGTAAGCGTATTTTCTCCAAAGGATGATAACATGACTAATTTACCTTTGGATAGTACCTTGCAGATTACCATGGTCTTTCATCTACATTTCTCCTGAGAAACAGTACAGATGAGGAAACCGAGTTGCTGTGCGATTAAGAAATGTTTGCTGTATCACTCCACTAGCAAACAAAGGTGCAAGGGAATACAGGAAACCAGACCCAGCAAGTCTGGGCTTTAGGGTCAAACTCTAGATGGAATCTCAGCTCAGCTAACCATAGCAACACAAACCTGGGCAAGGCCCCACTTTTTAACCACATCGTATGTGTAATACTCACCTCACAGACGAATGAGAATGAACCAGGACAACATGTAAAAAAGCACATGACAGAATTCCTGGCCCATAAAAGATATTCATTGCATATTAGCTTCCCTCTGTTGACACAGCTGTAAAAAGGAGGTACTAAAAAACCTAACTCATGAGGCTGCTGTGGGGATTAAACCATGCCCTGTAAGGGCTCACCAGGAGTAGTTTTCTCTCCTTGCCCATGTCCTGGCCTGGCTACCCACCCCCATATCAGGCCTGCCTCTGTGGAAAGGTCAATTCAAGATACTAGAAAACAACTTTAGAGTGAGGAAGTTTATCTTCATAGGTCAGCAAGCATTTTACCTATCTACTGAATTTCATAATTGTCCCTAAAACAAAATGGACCCAAATTAAATGTTTTTCAAAGACTGGGAACAAAGCCAAAGTCACTAGATAATTTCAATATACCCAGAGGCCCTCATGGTGATGAGATTTTGAGAACATACCAATTTCAGTCCACCTGGTTCAACCATCTACGCATTTCCTTTTTTTTTTTTTTTTTTAAATCAGGGGTGTCACTTTAGTTTAACCAAAGGTTAGATGAAGTGAGAACTACAGAGGGGGATGGAAAGAAAAAGAAAAAAGGAAAACCAGTGGGTAGAAACAACTGAGAAGTTTTCATACAAATCTGAGTTCTCCTTCAACGAGATCATGTCCAGTAACATGTTACTTCCTGAATGTTATGAAGTTTCCAGATGGCCACTTCTGGATAAGATAAAGCTGGTAGTATCAAAGGATGGCCCCGGTCTTCTCCAGCACTACCGTGCACGGACTCAGCCGAGAGCGGCCGCTGGCCTAGCAACAAGCCCTCGCAAGTGCGTGTTTGCTAAAGCGTCAACTTACAGTCACCTTCACCCAAACAGACGGTGTCAGTTAAATTTCAAATACAATCCCCAAAAGAAAGCATGCAGGAAAACGTTCCTCTTGTCCTAAGGGCTGTGATTTATTTATTTGGAAAGTTCTTTGGTTGGGTTGAATTTGATTCGATATTCGTGTACCTAATGTACCCACCCCGCGGGCTGTGGGACATTTTTCCCATTGTCGCCGCCCTCTGAGTTTTTAGAATACTCGTTTTTAGAATCCGGTGCTCAGAATCCGGCTCCGTGTGCCTTTGAGAAGTACCGTGGAAGAGTTTCCGTCATGAGCACCTTTAAGTTTGCAAGCGCATGACCAGTAAGGAGGGGTGGGAGGGGGAGGGGAGGAGGGCAACCAGAATGTCAAAATATACTTTCCTCCGCAAAACACGCAATTCTCGTTCCTAAGATTTAGTCGTGGAGGAAAAAAACCGCATTAGAAATGCAAACCACCCCGGGAGAGACTCTTCCGGCCGACTCCCGGGCCGCGCGGGGGGACCGGGCGGGGGCCCGGCGCTCGCTAGCTGCCCGCCTCCTCGGGCTCGCTGCAGGGCGAAGGCGCCGACGAGGCCTTGGACTCCCCGTCGCTGTTGCATTCGGCCGGGCGCGGGGTGCGGGCGCCGGCGGGACCCTCCGGCCCCCGGGCGTGGCGCTCCAGCAGCTCCTGGAGGTGCCTGATGTAGCCGATGGCGGCGCGGAGCGTCTCCACCTTGCTGAGCCGCCGCTCCGCCAGCTCGCGGGGCAGGTGGGCTCGAAGGCGCGCGTAGCCCTCGTTCACGCAGCGCACCCGCTGCCGCTCGCGCTCGTTGCGCCGCCGGAGGAAGGCGGGCTCGAAGGCGCACTCCAGCGGCAGCGGCCGGCAGGGCGGCCTCGCGGCGCAGCCCCCGGGTCCCCGCGCGCAGCACGCGGCGTCCGGACGGGAGACCCTGGGGGGGTCCCTGAGAGGGAGGCGGGGCGGCGTCCCCGGCAGGTCCAAGGGCACGGTGCGGAGGTGGTAGGGCAAGGGCGGCAGTCCGGCCGGCTTACGCTTCTCCATCCCTCGCCGAAAAGCCAACAGATCTCCCGAGGGACTAATCTCTGACAAGCTGAGACTCAAATAAATCTTCGAGGCGAAGATGCTGGTCCATTCAGACAGCCCGGCACGGCCGATCTGCCTTTAAAGAAGTTTCTGGTTCCAGGACAGGAAACTTTGCATGATTTCCTAAATTCATCGCACTCCTCGATCATTTATAAAGATCCAGACGGAGGGGACAGGCAAAGATTTAGGACCCCCTAATCCACACTTCAAACTCTGTCTTCCCCTCTGATCTTCTTATTTCAACAGATAACAAAAGGGATGCTTCTGCTCGGTCCCCTAGCCTGGGAATGGGAGCGTAGACCAAACAGAGTAATCTTCCAAAAATCACCCAAGCTTTTCAATTACTGTAATCCACCCGCTCTAGGTCTTCAAGAGCATAGGAATCTTCCCGGTTTCAAAAAAGCCCCTCCCAGGAACCCACAGATGTGGCGGCTGGGCGAAAGTCTACCAGAAGCTTTCTCCTTGAAATCAAAACTTGACTGCCCTTTGCGGTTTCCGGCGTCCAGGGCTAATGGAAAGAGCTTTCAGACTGTTTGCAAACTTGCCCTTGTTCTTCCATTTCTGTGGAGGTGGAGGGAAGACCTCATCAAAGGAAAGACTGCTCCCTTGTGGTTAAAAGATGTGTCAAGCAAAGGGGGACCTCAGGGGCTGCTTGAGGGTTTCTTCTCCAAAACCCAATCTTTTAAAAATCCCAGTTTGACATCGAAGAGAGGAGGGAAGGAATATACCTTAGCGAGAAGGTAAGTGTCCGAGTATTACGCTCCTGCTTGTGTGGAACGCAGGACTTTTTTTTTTTTCCACGTATGTGTGTTACTTTTTAAGAGCACATCAAAAGGTTGAACAGTAACAAACACTTTTAGTCAGTTATTCTCAAGGTGCTTACTGTAAACACAGGTTCAACCCTGCTTCCCGACCTCTTCTAATCCCACCCAGGATATAAGACCATTTTTCCATAGTGCAAAAAGTGTATTTCTATTGTATTCTTCTTTTTGTCTTAAAAACAAAGATGCAATTTATTTTCTCCCTTGGGGGCAGGTGAAGAGCCCCAGTTCCAGGGATAAAGGATGATGGCTTTGAAGACTTGTCTTTTTAACATACCACCAAAAAAAAAAAAGAATAATTAATCCATCCATGTTGGTGAAAGGCTTTGAAGATGAAAGTGTCATTAAAAACCCAACAGTGCTGGTTAATGTCAAAAAGTGTGTTATCACACTGAAAATCAGATTTCTTGTTCTGCAAACCCAGCACATTAAAGGGAGCTTCTACTTTTAAAAGTCCAACTTAAAAACGAGAAGCAAAACCCCCCGACATTTATGATCAGACTTTCTGCCTATTCCTCAGGAGCCAGGGTGTAGCCCTGACATGTTTTTTTGACAAGTGCTATGCTTACCTGTTTATCCTAAATGATTTTTGCCTGAAGCAACTGGAAAAACACCTCCATCAAGGCAAATAAAATAGAAATAATTATTCCTTTTAGGCATAAGTTAGTCACATTTTAAAAACTCCCTATGAGGCATGTACCAGCAAACAACCTAATGTGTCACCTTGATTTCTCAGTAGAGTTGAGAACAATCCAGAGAAAGCTCTTATGGTTGGGAGACAAACCCCCCAGAGAGGTAGAAAACTACTGGACCACAAGGTGCTTTGGGCCGTGTTAAGGATTTTGGCCTTTGTTCTAAGAGTGATGGGAAGTAAATGAGGTGCTTTAAGCAGAAAGGTGACATAGTGAGATTTTGTTTGTCAAGAACATTACTCTATCTGCAGACTGGAGAGTAGACTGGAGAGGTGGGAAAGGGAGAACGGATAAGAGGTACCATATTTCATCCTCAGATTGGAAAATCTAAAAATGGCTAATACCCAGGGCAGGCAAGAATTTGGGGAAAGGGCAGAAGCATAAATTGCTATAAGCTTTTGGGAAAGTGACTTAAAATTAATAGTGTACATTACATGTCCTTTGACCCGGAGATCCTGCATAGATAAATGCACCAGCGGAAATTTATATATACAATGTTATCTACTGCAGCATTGTTTGTAATGATTTTTATTATTTTTAAAGATTTATTTTATTTATTTATTCGACAGAGAGATCATGAGTAGGCAGAGAGGCAGGCAGAGAGAGAGGAGGAAGCAGGCTCCCTGCTGAGCAGAGAGCCCGATGTGGGGCTCGATCCCAGGACCCCGAGATCATGACCCGAGCCAAAGGCAGAGGCTTAACCCACTGAGCCACCCAGGCGCCCCATAATGATTATTTAAAAAATTTTTTTTAAATTTTATTTATTTATTTGACAGAGATCACAAGTAGGCAGAGAGGCAGGCGGGGTGGGGGGGAGCAGGCTCCCTGCCAAGCAGAGAGCCGGATGCGGGGCTTGATCCCAGGACCCTGAGATCATGACCTGAGCTGAAGGCAGAGGCTTAACCCACTGAGCCACCCAGGCACCCCCCCATGATGATTTTTAAAAGGAGAAAAAGGGGACAGTCCGAATGTCCATCAATAGAGGGAGGGCTAATACTTTGAGAATATTATATTATTATTAAAAATAACGAGTTAGAGCTATATGTAAGAACTTGCAGAACTGTACATAATGTGGTGAGCGAAAAAAGTAAACTAACGAAGAATATATGCAGTGTGAATTTAAAACGAACTCTCTACATGATACATAAGTCTTTATATGTGTTAATGTGAGCATAGGGAAGGAAGGAGAAAGACACAGTAAATTTCTGTCATTGGTTGCCTTAAAAAGGTGGCTCTGGGGAGAAGAGGTGTTGTTCCTTTTCTTTATAGATCTCTCTACTGCTTAATTTGTTACAAAAGACACGTATTACTTTTGTATTTTTTTAATCTCGTTTAAATACTTTTTAAAATAATAAGACAGGGGCACCTGGGTGGTTCAGCGGGTTAAAGCCTCTGCCTTCGGCTCAGGTCATGATCCCGGGGTTCTGGAATCGAGCCCCGCATCCGGTTCTCTGCTCAGTGGGGAGCCTGCTTCCTCCTCTCTCTCTCTCTGCCTGTCTCTCTGCCTACTTGTGATCTCTGTTTGTCAAATAAATGAATAAAATCTTCAAAAAAATCTTTTTAAAGTAATAAGATAAATAATGTTTAAGACATTATTTATTATAATAATGCATTATTATAATTATAATTATTATAATAAATAAAAGTAAAAATAGATAAATGTCTTATAATAAATAAGAGAAAATATACAGAAAACTCAAATGATAACCTGATCGGACTCAAACCAACAGATTTATCATTATAATGTAAACATCTTGGGCCAAGTTTTCTGGCTCCTTATAAATTCTGTCTCTGAGGAATAAATATCTATAAGACTTTTGTTTCTACTAAAACCACATCAGAAATGGTTGGATCCTGATTCTCTAGTTATCTTTTTATTGGGTCCAAGTAATGTTGTGAGATATCTACATGGTCACAGAGGATGTTGTTAGTCTTATGCTTTCTGAAGGTTCAAGGGCATTAGAAATAAGTAGCCTCTTGAGTAGGAGAAGCATTGTTTTGTTACATAATGTGAAGTGGGGAGGGGCTGCGTTATTGTCACATAAAAAATCAAAAGAGGAGGTTCTGACTCCTGATGTCTCCAGTCAGTTTTGATCCAAACAGATGTTCTCACCAACTTTAAAGGTGTCTCCCATCTGGATCAGGTCTGCATATGTTGCAGATACATCTAGAATATGTGACAGATAGGCTAAACCTCCAAGAACGCTTCGGACTAGGTTTAGTTGTCCTTTTCGGGATCTGCTTGTAAAAAGGGGACATGGGGATTCACTAAAGACTGGGCACAGTAGATTCAAAGATCTCTTTAAGGCTATGGTGGACTTCCATCTCTAAAACTCAGACAGGTCCCTTGTCAGCTGCTTTAAATATCTGAGCTGAAGACTTTAGATTGGCTCTTCTTCTAGAATGTTTGATGTCACGTAGATTTTGGTTTCCTAGGCTGGTGGCACAGAGGGGTACATACATGGCTGTCCCCACACTTGCTGTTTGCATCAGCTGCCACAAGGGGAAACAGGAAGACCCATGTTACGACCTCATGGTAGAAAGATTTCTCACAGGTGTAGCTAACTAAATCTCAAGCTGAATAGATCATACGATTCTGGTTTTTTTTTTTTTTTAAAGATTTTATTTATTTATTTGACAGACAGGGATCACAAGTAGGCAGAGAGGCAGGCAGAGAGAGGAGGAAGTAGGCTCCCTGCAGAGCAGAGAGCCCAATGCGGAGTTTGATCCCAGAACCCCGGGATCATGACCGGAGCTAAAGGCAGAGGCTTTAAACCACTGAGCCACCCAGGCACCCCTACGATTCTGTTCTGTTCAGTTAGTCCTTTTCCACCTAGCTCGGGAGTAAACTCTATATTTTCATGTGCAACATCTCCTGGGGGTCCTTGGGGTACAACTAAATACTGAGACTCATTAAGACTCTCCAGGGCCACATTTGGTGTCAGATTCAGTGGCAAGGATATAGATCAAGAACCATGTGTTTGGTGGGGCGCTTGGGTGCCTCAGTGGGTTAAGCCCCTGCCTTTGGCTCAGGTCATGATCGCAGGGTCTTGGGGTTGAACCCCACATTGGGCTCTCTGCTCGGCAGGGAGCCTGCTTCCTCCTCTCTCTCTCTGCCTGCCTCTCTGCTACTTGTGATCTCTGTCTGTCAAATAAATAAATAAAATCTTAAACAAAACAAAACAATGCGTGGAGCAGGGCTGAGCTCGACATTCGACCTCCATGGGAGTCCTTGTAAGACTGCATGGCAATCCGCACAGGTGCGTCTCCCGAGTCCCCTGTAGCCAAGTGACAGCTCAGGTTAGTGTAGAAGCAGCACTCACATCAGCCCCATGTGGTAGCTCTCCCGGCTTAGAGGTCTCCTTCCCATCATGAGCCAGTTTCATGCACCTCGGATCCCTCAGGACAGCATTGCTTGCTTTATTTTTTAACTTTGAATACTGATTTTTTTTAATGTTCCTTTTTTTTTTTTTCAATTTTTATTGTGTTATGTTAGTCACCATACAGGACATCATTAGTTTTTGACGTAGTGTTCCATGATTCATTGTTTGCATATAACACCCAGGGCTCCATGCAATCCGTGCTCTCCTTAATACCCGACACCAGGCTCCCCCATTCCCACCCCCTCCCCTCTAAAACCTGCCATTTGTTTTCATACAAGTAAGGCTGCCTAATGACATAGTTGACATTCTATCTTTATCAGGTTTCAGAGGACCAGAAAACAGAAAGTTAACTGAAGGTCAGATTGTCACACAGAAGGGTGAAACCTTCATGAATCCTTCACCTGCATCATTCCGTTCTGTTTTAAAGATAATTTACAGCAAGATTTAAAGACCTGCAAATATTTAGGTACAATTTATTACTAACTTTTCTGTCTTTCTCCAACAGTATTTGCATGCTAGGCTTTTCTCTGCAGTTTTTTTTATCATACAACAATGTAAAATTTTGCTGTAGTCAAATATATTCATCCTTTCCTTATGGCTTTTTGTCTTTTCTCTCTTCTTTAAGGCTGTCTTTTCCTGCCACAAATTTTGCATGGCCGTTTCCTAGCCTGTGTCTGGCACCTCGGTGTGAGTTAGAGAAAGAAACCAAACCCAAGTCTTGGAGATTGGATGGCTGACTGCACAAGTCATTTGGAGGTACAGTTCTTGAACAAGGACATCTTGATTTG